CAATTAATCTAGAATTGATACAAATACATTTGTGAGAGAGTTTAAGCTCAAAATGACAAAAGTTACAAATGACACAAGTACCTATATTATTTATAGTGTACTCAACAAATGCAAAAAGTATATCAGGACTTTGACATGGAAAGATAAACAATAGAAATGTCTGATAAAATACATATAGAATCAAAGTTATACAAACATTTGATTATGACAAACTTTGACTTTGACTACTACCTAAGACTTTGATATATCACAATATATTTGACTCTACAGAACATAAAGTGTACATTTATTATTCCATAACTAAAAGCCTTCGATGGTTTTAGTTGTCGATTTAAATCTTATTGGTTATTTATTTGCAAAAATAACATGAAAAGGCCTATTTGACCAAGTCGTGAAAAACCCATAAATTGTTTCGGTTAAAAATTCCTACTATGGGATCGAATTACCATACTGAAGATAGGGTTGGATTTGAAGATGTCGTAGTTTGCACCATAGCCGCGGGCGAGTGGTAGGATGCAAGCTCATTTCGAATAGGTATGGCTCCCATTTGGCAGGGCCGAATAAGGGGTGACAAAGGGGTAACTAAAGGGTAAGGCCGCTAGAAGCTGGTCAGTAGATGTGGGGAATGACTTGGTTGAAATTCAACTGCTTGTCTGGTCAGTTTTTGTGATGAAATGGAAGATGCGACTTCTTTAGAAGTTGTAAACAACAATTTGGCAAGATGAATGGGAGGAAGTACTATAGTTAAAGGAAACATCAATTCATAAAATGAAGTGTGTCTAGTGGTGTAAATGCGATTTGGTGAAGGACTTAGACTACAATAGGCCTTATATTGAGGTATACAACCGATTAATATACAAAAAATGCTCCAATGGGGTATATTGTTAGTCGAGTAGTCACGCAAATAAGAAAATACTTGACACTAGAAATTTCGGAAGATATCATAGTTTGGCCAAGTGTTGAAAAGTATTTCAAAAAGAATTTTGTGTTTTAATACCTTTGTTGGAAGTCAGTTGATGATATAAGTTGTCAGGAGGAAAGAATCAACCCATGGGGAAGCATTCACATGTGAATTAAAGAGCACGGTGAGTCTGATTCTGGTGATATAAAAGTGTTTCTGTTCGTTGCGACCATTTTTCTATCGGGTATAGGGACAAGATATCTGGTGACATGTCCCATTTTCCATAAAAATGTTACGAAGACGATTGTTTAGGAATTTTGTGACACTATATATTGCAAGAAAACTTCTTTTATTGCCACCTCTCACTTTGGAATGATTTAACTTGCAAGAAGACTTCATTTAAAAGAAAGTCTTAGAACAAAATCAACATATTATAAAATTATGATTTTTTCTTTAGCGGGTAAAACCATATCAATCATGAATAGTCGTCAACAAAAATAACATAATAAGAATAGCCATCCATAAATGAATAGGTGATGGTCCCTATAAACCAAAATGAATTAAGTGAAGCACATGAAATGAACATTTTGAATTAGGTTGAAAGGGTAAATGTTTTCTTTTAGAAGGCTAATAAGATGAACAAATAATATGGTTAGGTAAATCACAAATATCAGAAAAATGACCTGAGTTTTAGAGTAAAGAAATAATATCAAACATAATGTGTCCCAATCTTGTTTGTCTAACTCATCAGAGGTTTGAAGCCGTGTTGGCTTCAAAGCTGCCATAAAAGTTGTTCTTCTTACTTGAACACATATATTCTGTTTTTTTGCCTTTGCCCCTTGCTAAGGCCTGGGATTTCCTTTATGATGATTCATCTATGAATGGAAAAAAATGGATTAGAAAATAAAATAGCTATTAGATAATTCTTTGCTAATTTCCTGGTTTCGCTAATCGAGAAAAGATTCTTGGTGATGTAAGGAATCACAAGCTTATATAAAAATTTAATATCTTCGATAGAGAAAATATACCCTTTTAATACATTTGGTCACATTATTCCTATTTGTACACTCTACTACCCCATTAATACATTTGGTCATCTTATTCTTTTTTTGTACATATTTTACCATTAACTCACATTTGTTTTAACAAAATGCCATTTTGATTAGTTATTGTAAGTTTAACCGATTTCCAACTAGTCTCCAGTCATCTAAGGGGTTGTTTGGTTTGTTGGAATTCTCTGGAATGTGGGGGATTTGGAATCCTACTCCACCCGATTCCTATGTCGGTTCAAATTTTGCAAAGGAATTGGAATCCTAAATGAAAAAAAAAAATACATCAATGGGGGAAAGCTCATTCTTTCAAGACGGGGAAGGAATTAACTCCAATTCGTAAGGGAAAGTGAAAGATTACCAAATTACCCTTGTTCAATTTAACGCTTCATCGAAACCCATATTTGCAAAATAAAAACATTCAACCCTCATTTCCCAAGCATGTGCACTCTTTTCCACCACTTCTCCTTTCTCCACTCTGACGTCGTTGGCCCACGGTTCCTTCGATAAGAGCTTCCCTAATCACAGATGTACAAGTCTCTTTCTCTCCCCTACAGATGTTGTATTAAGCCGAAAATGTGAAAAAATTATGTATCTTTCTCTTAAATCATGACTATAAAAATTTAATAAAAATGTTGATGTTTTTTGCTAAATCGCTACTATGAAAATATGTATCATTCAAGTAATTTGTACTGGCACCGAGTTGTTGGGATTAAGAAAGTATGCTGATTCGTTCAATATTTCAAGCAATGACGAATAATTGTTGATTTCAAATTAGTTGTTACTTGTTATATTTATTATTGTTTTTTTGTCACACCTAGAAGAGTATGTATTGCAACTTGCCACTAATTTCAATTAATTAGTTTATACACATTTATTATACTCTTTAGTCTTGTAACATCTCAAAAACCACAACCAATTTAAACTTTTCAAATCAACTCATTTACTAATATAAAATTTTACAAAACCATTGTTTCCAAAATATTATTTAGAACATAGTCTCCCAAGATCAACAGTATAAAAAACAGGGTGTGTACGGTCACGCCTTTGCCTTGCCACAGTCATCTGAAGTACCGGAAGTCATAACCAAAAACTGTAAGCCAACGCTTAGTGAGTTTCCCCCAAAGTGCCACCACACAATAAAAATATCACATACAAACAAGCATGTTGGGTCCAATCAATCATCGGACTGGAATACCCATGGGTCCACAACCATCGGGTTGGATTACCCCTGGCCTAACCAGTCATCAGACTGGAATGTCATTATACAATAGGTCCACTCAGTCACGGGACTACAGTACTAAAATATAGCGGCCCCACTTAGTCATCGGACTGGAATACCCTCGAGTCCACTAAGTCATCAGACTGGAATGCCCCCAGTCTGGAATACCCTTGGTCAAACTTGGTCAATGGTCAAAAGTCAAGTCAATACCTAGCCGAGTCAACCCAATCGAGCCAACCCGACCAAGTCGACTCAGCCGAGTACACTGGGCGTACTCTTCTATACGTAAGGCGTAGTCGGTGGTTGACCAGCTTACGAGATGCTAACCATGTACGCGCAACGTACCACTTGGTACGCCCACTTACGTGTCAATTCAGCCCTTTCCCCATTAAGAGCTTAGTACTCTAAATCTTCACGTCCAAAATCAGATCCAAAGCCAAAATATCCTCAAGAGTCATAAAGTTTCCAACTTTATGACTTTGCATGTCCATTAAGTTCTTAAAACACAAAATCTCAACATCTTAATGCATTAAGACCTTCTATAGCATGCTTGGAGCAAAACTAACCATCAAGACTACAATAATACATTTTATTGGCTTTGTAGTCTGTACTGATTTGTGTATTATTTGTTATAGTATAGAGTTTGTACTCAAGTAAGTAATTAATTTCTACAATGTAGGTGATCTCTTGATTGTTCTGAATCATATTGTCCAAAATCAGAAATTCTATTGAAACAAGTTAGTTGATCTCTTGACTGTTATGAATTTGTACAATTTTAGTAATATAAATATTGGCATGATTACTAAAATGAAAATTTACAATAATTATAATTTATATAATCTATCTTTACATATAACTTGTTATGAAACAAAGTAAACACAAGCAAAAAAAATGCCATTTTACATCATTCAAATTCCATTTCTGCCAACCAAACTGAATATTGAAACTTAGAAACACATTTCTCTTGAAAATCAAATGTTCTTGAGCACATGATATCTGGAAATGTCGTTGAAAACACACACACACACATAGTTTCTTGATATCTTAAACACAGACAGAGATGATTTCTTGGTTTGTATTAGGCTCAAAAAAATCAAAGATGCTGGCTCAAAACAATTCCTTGGTTTGTTCTTGAACAAACATACATATGATTTATGGAAATAATTTTTGGGTTTGTTTGGGCCGAAGGGAAACTCATCAGAGGTACTATGGCAGCCGAAGATCCCAACTTAATTATATGGTAAATAATCATTAACCTATAATACCAGGCCATCTTTATATTTTTTTAACGCAACAAGAGATAAGTTCAATGATAAATCGAATTAAAAAATAAAAAGTCATTGGCTAAATGTATAAATGAGGCATAATACATTACCCTTTCTGGTAATCAACCCTATAAGTAGTACCATCCACTAATTACAACATGGAATACGATATTCTGTTACAATTTCTAGCCTATTAACAACCGATCATTAGCAATTGACTATTCAATCACAAGTAGGGAACGGAAAATCAACACCTATTTACATCTAACACTTACAGTTGCACAAGTCTAAGGCTTACTAGCGACGAAACATCTGTTGCTAAAACTCCATGGATTTTGACTGCCGCTAATACTTGCTTTTCTAGTGGTGTATAACAGCAATCGCCAGAGAATAATATTTCATAATACTCACCATTGAAATTATTTGACTAAAGGTCATTCATGTCAATCCAGATTCACCATATCACACCCCATGGCTCCATGATGTGATTCACCTCCTCCCATACTCCACACATGACACAAAAGTTAGATTGTCGCTTTCAAATATACTGGAGAGTCATTGGCTCAAATCCAGTTGTAGGTAAAACCGACTGCAGCCTTCACGATCTTCTTGCGAACTTCTTCCAACTGATCTGCCCCAATAGGGTGCTCTCCGGTGAGGTAACTACATATCCAAAAGATAAAGGAAGCTGGGAACAATACGGGGATCATTATGATAAACACCGGGATTAAGATCATAAACATAGGTATGAGGATTAGAAAGATGGCCAGCCCAACAATGGAGAGCGAGATGATGTGGCCAGCAAAGATCATGGGCACAACGATCTTGACCAGGTCTTCATAGAACTGCTGATCGAGGGAGACATGCTGGTCTGAGCCATTGGCAGCCATGGAAGTTTGTGGTTTGTGAGGGAGGGAGGGAGGGTGTATGTATAGTGGTTGGTGGTGGGGGCTCGTGATCGGAGATGGTGACATTCACGTGAAACATTGTGATATTTCGCAGGGTTTGCATGAAACTCAAGGAAAGTTAGTAGAATAATAAAGGTATAATGTGGTGTCATAAAATGGACAATAGAGTTACAAGTATTGCCTCTTTTTATTTTTCACTTTATTTTTACCAACAAACTTGATTTCTCAAAATATATATATATATATATATATATATATATATATATATATATATATATATATATATATATATATATATATATATATATATATATTAACGATCAAACCTTGTTTCCTTTTTTGAGAGATCAAATTTCAGTAGATAAAGTTAGGTTAACATAATTTCTAGTGTTTCCGTTTCAAATTGATAGTTTATTTTTAACTTTTAATTTTTTTTTTCAACTTTGATTTAAATATTTTTATTTGTGTTATACATATTATTTGATAAAATTTATAACAATAAAAATAATTTAAATACAATTCATTCATATATTTTGCATCAAATATTATCTATAAAAAAAATATTTAAGGTTAAAATTGAAAAAAAAAAAAAAAAAAAAAAAAAAAAAAAAAAAAAAACACCCTTCAAAAGTTAAAAATAACTATCAATTTGGGATAGAAATAACATATACTTTTTATATTAGGTTTACTAGGTTAAATTATAAACCCAAGTAACCTAATGAAAAATTCAAATAAAATAGACAATAACAAAACCAAAAGTATTGACTTATGAAAATTTCAAAATAAAAATCAAAAAATACCAAGTCATTTTTAAGAATGCAGTTTAGAGGGCCACTTTTAACCATTCTTTAATTAATTTCTTTGCAGATATTATTTATTAGTTGTAAAGACTTATATAATATAAGGGTTATGTAGTATAAGGGTTAGTTTATAAAAATGGTTGTATATGAATATCTAACCATTTAGAAATAACTTAGAAAAATATTGAATTATTGAAATAAAAGTGTTTATTTCTCTTTTAAATATAAAGAGATAGTTTAAATAAATAAATAAATGAAATAATTGAGTTTTAAGTTAAGAATTTTAAAATTAGAAAAAAGTTGTAATAATTAAATTAATATTCATTATTATTATATTTATTATAATTATTATATTTAAATACTATGTGGATAAAATGACATATGAAAAAATTTTAAATTTAAAATAACCATAAAATAACATGTACCAAAATGAGTGAGAGTGTGACATGAATAAAACAGATTTTTGTAACAACCAACACTATAAACTAAATGACATTTAGTAGGGGTGACAACTTTCGATCCAACCCGTAACCCGAAATTAATCCAACCCGAAAATAGACGGGTTTGTGTTGAGATTTTTTATCCGTCAACCCGCCAACCCGTATATATATATATATATATATATATATATATATATATATATATATATTAATTAAATTTGATTTCTATGCGTATTTGTAATATTATGTATGATTGTATTCCTTCCGTATTCGTATGTGACTAATCTGCAGTTGCAGTTCGTTAATTAGAAAAGAAAAATACATGTCGTTATTTGACAAGTCACCAACGAAGAACACATTCACCTTTTATGAATGTTTTCATTTTTCATTTTTATTTTGATGTTATTGATTTTATGAATTTATTTTGAAAACCGTTTTTTATGTTAATTACTTTAATCATTTTATGAATTTATGTTGAAAAAACCTCATTTTTTAAAATGTATTGTTTATTTATTAAACGGTTTATATGGGTTGGGTTTGATCCATTAACTTGTGAACCTGCAAACCCATATACTTAAACGGGTTATATGAGTTGGGTTGGGTTGAGGTTTCCAACCCACCAACCCGTGACTCGCCAACACGTCAACCCATATATTATATGAGTTGGGTTGAGTTTATGTTTTCTGACCCGCCAACCTGCCAACCTGAACCCAACCCAATTGTAAGGCCTAACATTTAGTGGAATCTTATAGTGACATATTTTTTTGTGCCACTATATGGTGCTTTTAATGGCACATTCTAAATGCCACTATAAAAATTAATAATTTTCATGGCATTTAACTTTTTATGCCACCAAAAATCATATATTAATGACATAATAATTCCAAATGACATTATATGTTATATTTTTATTTAATTGCTTCTTTTTTGTATCATTAAAACTATTAAGCTATTATTATTTTTTTCTTATTGTTTTCCACCAGTTATTTTTCAATTTTGGTGTTCCTACTTATGATTTCCATCAAATGGTAAGTTAAGGCAAAAGTGGCAAAATGCTCCTAGAAATTGTGATACTTTGAACTCATAATGCTCTCAACTCCATCTGTGCTCTAGATCCCATCGATTGTTGCGTTGTAAAGACTCCTCCGTCGCTGTTATCGATTGTTCCCCATCGTCCTCACCCACCTCTACCATTGTGTTTCTCCCGTGTGTGCTTTTATCAGGTAATTCATGATGTCACTTCTTCCTACTTCGTCTCATTATCCTCAAATTGTTCCATTTATTTTTGTTAAACCATTCAATGGCAAGAGTTTTTAGCATTTCTTGTTAACAACAATTTCGTACAAATTCATGAAATTTGAGGAAATCAGAAGCAGTTTTAACATTTCTTTATGTATATAAACTTAAAAACTCATTTAATATATAATATATAGATTGAAGAGGAGATGTACCTCGCCACCTTTCCAAAAATTCCAGCTTTGCTCCACCACAACACTACCTAAAACTCTCTAAGTTTTGTTCTAATTACATCATGTTTAGAATTTAGGTTATATTTTTGTTTATTTCATCGATTCTATTTGCTACATGAACAATCAAGTTTAAGATTGATAAAAACAATTGAAACTTGGTCAAAGAATGTTACAACTGAGCACAAAGGAGGATCCTATGTTTACCTTCTTTAGGTAGAGAAAGGATTTTTCAACATTTGAATAGTAATTGTTAATTATTGGTGTTTTGTGTGTGTGTGTGTGTTAGGATTTCATGGACAAGACTGTGGTTCGTGCTTTAGCAACTTGAACGAAGAGATTTATTGCTTCTTTATGCAAAAATGTTGAAAAGTCTTGGGATTTTCGCAAGTCAATGACTTTTGACTACAGATATGAAGTGTTTAAAGGTAATGGGCACAAAAGATTTGACTCATGAACTTGTGATCTTAAGTGATTGGATTGCCCTTTTATCTCAACCTGGTATGATATTCATTATACTCAATTCACACTAAGTTGCTATTTTTTATAACATTAATTGTATTTATTACCTTTGGTTGTTTATATTTGTAGACATAAAGGCAAATGGTTTGTTGATTTTGTTCACTCTCAACCACTAATAGGAGCTGTATATGGTGCAAACCAGCAAACAAACTCTTTTGTTGAACCTACTAGAAACTATTATTAGTTTTTTTTATAGTAATCAATGTACACAATTGATTTAATCTTATCTTGGAGTTTAATTAAATTAATCTTGGAATCCTATTTTGTGTTATGGATGAGAGCTCTTATCAACAAGAAAGCTATCAACAACTACCTAGTCCTTTTTACAACACACAATATTAATAACCACAACATTTTTCCATGTTTGTTCCATCTCTTGCATCTGAAATTCCACCTATATGTAATTATTTTAAAACTTCCATTTTCTCCCTTTAATTTTAACTTGCTTAAAACTTACAATTTACATTTATGTTGTTTTAGACGGGGTTCAATGATCCAACTCCAATTACAACTCAAGTTGTCCCCAAAGTCTTTGTTACTACAACTCCACCTATCATGAGAAACGTTAACCAATACCATCAACCCCTGGTCTTCGGCTCTCATATATACCCTGTATGTATGTCTATATTATTAATGTTTAGTATATTGTATCTATAAATTTATAATTGTAAGTCTGAGGGTGCATGCATAATAAATACCAGAGTTTGGTGAATGCTAATCATGGTTACCAAGCAATGTAAAACCTTGCAAAAACAATGGTAAGTTATTATTCTTTTGATCTTACACCCTCCCCAAACCCAACCCCTATGCTGACATAGCTTTAATAGGTTTCCTTTTAGAGAGAAAAATCATGACAAAAGCCTCCTGAAAAGATGTGAGTTGTAACCAATGTAAAGCTATATTACCATAATACCCTTTTGATACTACTTATCTTTGCGTACTTATCTTTGTGTAATTATCCATAATGGCAATGTATCTACATTTCTTCACCAATAATAACAATATACTTGCATTTTCTATTATTTTTATTAATAATAGCAATGTACTTGCATTTTCTACCTATATAGGTATTGTACGTTTTTGTTGGATATTGGTATTATTGGTAAGGGAATGCAAGTATGTTGCTGTTATTAGTAATGAGTTGCAAGTATGTTGTTATTATGTGTACTTTACCTTTTACCCATAACAATATACTTACATTTTTTACTCATAATAACAATATACATTATTTTTCTTAGGGAAAACTTACTTGAGCTCGGCCAACTTCACGCATCACACACCTTGTTCTTTCTCAAAGCTCTTTATTTTAATTTTTAGAAAAATTATTTTCTTGTAAAAATCTTCCAAACCCTCGATTTGAGTCCAGACACCCTCAAAGGTGTGTCTGAATCCCTTAAACCAAGGTTCTGATACCAACTTGTAACATCTCAAAATTCAAGACCGAAAATTTCTTTTTTGATATAACGATTCATAAATTGTTTTATAGAAAATATCATCAAGTTATTTCATTTCATAAAAACCATGGATCATATGTCTCAAAAACATGTCATAAGATAGTAACAATGTCATAGTACAATCCCAAGAATCTCATATGCGGAAAATCGTGTGTGTGATACGTTGCTACCGTGCTGACTCCTTTCCCTTCGAAGAAGAAAGACCTGAAACAAAAACTAAAAACCATTAGCACAAAGCTAAGTGTGACATCCCCCCAATTTCACGTCTAGAAAAGACCGATTTGTTTATGCTTTGTTTTATAAATCAGAGTAATCGTTTAAAGAAAACGGTTGCGGAATTTGTTCCCAAAACAAAATGTGATAAGAATTTATCAAAGCATTTCT